TTTTACACATACACGCTGGTGAGCCAAGATGTTCCTTTTAAGGTATTTCTTGGGAAGATAGCTCAAGCTATCTTGTTTAATAACAACGCATTTATAACAGGTTTATTTTGTACAAGGTGCTTGACGGAAATCTCGATGTTTTCTGTTTCACGAATGAGAAACATGGAAGAATACTAAAACTGAGGTATCTCCGCTGGCTGTTCAAACTCCGAGGTAAACTTCTGTTCCTTAACTCTACCCCCTTGATAGGCTGCCAGAGGGAAACAGAAATGTTCTATCTGTGCAATACAAGGGAAAAAAAGAAACATTAGCCATGTTTTTTGGCTAAACAACCATTTTGTCCGAAACCGTTTCATATTTGCGTAGAGCTGTGCTCTCGGAAGAAAGCCTAGTCAAACTTTTAAATGAGCCAAGCCGGCAGGTAATAAAATCCGCTCCTTACGCTTGGGTTTACCGATGGAAAATGGTACAAGAGTTCAATTTTTGATTTATTAGAAAGGATTTTTACTTAATTAAAAATTTATCTTGTTCTGTGTTCACCAGAATATTTTTTTAATTTTTTTTGTTTTTGTTTTCTTTTCTAATTATGTTAAAAACAGACACTATTATTGCATTGTCATTTTATTAGCTATTTTATTATCTTTTATCAATATTTGATCAGTAATCTCGACTCCAAGCAGACGGATGTTGCATTGCTGTAAATACTTACGTTTTTTAAAAGGGTATATATTTTGTTTGTCTTACGAGGGTGCGCAACAGCAGAGGTCAAGTCTCAGGGTGCCGTGTTTAAGAAAAAAAGCCCNAATAGAAGGAGTAGAACGTAAGAGAGTGAGCAGAGAAGTGAAGGTGTGAAGGGCTCGCGTAGGAGGAGGGGATCAAAGAAAACAACTACTTGTTGGACTATTTACAATCTATGTACAAAGGTACAGTTGGCGTAAACAGTTATTATTTATAACAGCTTGCTCAGGAATTCCAAATAGAGGGGGCCTGAGTCGTGAAACACTGTATGAGTGTATTATTTTGTCAAATGTACCACTTCCTCTTTTAGTACTATTGTAAAAATCTATGATTTTTGGTTTCTTGGTGTCTTCATTTATAAAAAATTCGACTCTTCAATTATGAAATTTGACAAACCTTGGATGGTAACAGTGATAAGCCCAAACATGTAAAGAATTAGAAACACAGCTGTCACAATATCAGTGGAATGCTATTAATGTGAGTTTAGCATAGCAAGCGCCGATTGTCCGGCCTGCCGTATGTACCAACGTAACAGTAAAAATTGTAACCGAGTGTGGTGACTCACACCTCATGTGACCAAAAGGGTGCTTAACAGCTCGTACATGAGGAGTCGGTGTGCGGAAATAAAGCGGCCGGGTAGAATCGAATCTCTCAGAAGTTCAAAGTCGACGTTGAGATGGGTTGTGTGGAGTTTGATCGGGTGTTTCCTGGGCTCCTGCGAAACGTCTTGTTTATTGTCAAGTACGGTATTGACTCGCGGCTTGTCCAGGCTACGTGCCAAAACATAAGTAAATAACGCTGCCGTCACATTTTTATTGTATAACGAATCACCGGGGCGGAATTATTCATGAAACCACAGCGTATGTGTCACGTCATGTTGATATTTGAAAATTGAATTTCCCAAATATTGCATTTTCGTGTTGTCCGGCCTCTTTTCTCTCTCTCTCTCTCTCTCTCTCTCTCTCTCTCTCTCTCTCTCTCTCTCTCTCTCGACCCGGTAAAACTCATTTGTTTTTGATGTACGACGCCTGTTATTTTGAACACTTTACATTAACTTATCAATTATTTCGAGAAGGCTTTTGACGTCGTGGGAGATCAGTTGGAGTAGAGGACCCTCGATTCTAAAGTGTCCTTTGAGGTCGGCTTAATCTCAACGGCATAAAATCTAAACAATTCCCTTTTACAACAATTTCGTACATAAGAAGAGTTGAAACCTTTTTTCTTGGTTTGTTTCTTGGTCGACCCGTTCGGTCTGTCAGAACAGGCACCAAATTCCAGGCACCAAATTCCATCAATCGGGGCATACCCCTTAGAGAACACTCACAATATAATAAATAATAATATTATTATAACTGTAGTAAAGTTTATTTCGGAAAAATAAAAAAATAAATAAAATATATGTGGGATGATGACGTGAGAGTGCGACTAGGGGTGGGGACGTGTTGGAACGGATGAGGTAGAGGGTTAGGGATGTTTTACAGGGAGAGTAGTTTTTTACAGACAGTCACGACGAGAAGATCGGAAAGACGAGTGAAAATTAAGAGTAGTTCAAAATTGTTTGTAATTGTAGTATATTTGTCTACTTTTAATAAAGCAAAGTTAAATTGAACGAGCCGTTTGTACAAGCCCCGACATATATATCAAAAACAACAGCATTATTTGCTTTGACAACCACGTTATCAGAGTTACCTCTCATTTAAAACGAAAAAGTTATCTTATAAGAGAAAAGAACGATTGTAAAAACGATACATTTTTTATAGATTACAATAAAACCAATAGTGCTTAAAATAATAGTTTCAAAATATTTATGAGACCGCGGCGGCCGACTGCTTAGGTCGTCCGACTCATTACCATGCTAGTGGTTCTGTGTTCGAATCCCTGCACAGCCCTTGGCTTTTTAATTGAAAAGTACTGTGAAAATGTATTGTAAAGTGATGGTTTAACTTTAATCTTTGTCGTCTTCTTTTCTTCGTTATTGTCTTTCTTTTTGTTTTGTAGATGAAACATTTCTTTTTTGTTGGCCTTATTTTTAAGGGGTTTTTTAAAAGTAAAACTCGCGGTTTTGCGACGTTTCAGCAATCCTGTGCCATTTTCAAGTCCTTAATTTTATTTCTATAAAATTATTTTTTCTCTCAGAAATATGATGTATATCATTTAAAAGGCGCAGGACGCCGAAACGTTGCAAAATTGTGATTGTAAAAAAGAAAACACTTTCAAAATAAGACATACAAAAAAGATGGGTGGTTTTAATGGATGAAAATTTTCGTTTGGTAGGCCTCATTTTGAAGGTGTATGGAAGTATGGATCAAAAAATGGAGGATTGACGATACCATATCTCAGAAAGTAGGCTTCACACTTCGTCGTATCACTTCTCCTACAATCAACAATTCTGTTCCTCCTCTAGCAACCAATGGTGTCTGCTATTGCCTTGCTCCGACAAAAGACTTAAGTCAAACTCACCCACTCGACTCAAAAGAACTGAAGAGACGATGAAACCGATTCAAAAGACTAATTGGCAGCAGATCCAAACTCTAGCAACTAAATAAACAATTCATCTACGCATTATTTCTACAACCAACCTGAACTGGTAATCGAATAAGCGCTTACTCGAATCCAAAATCCTTCGAGCTATTGCCCAAGGCCCTACTTCGTATCGAACTACCCTACACATAGGAACTTAGGATTTGCTCTCGAAACCGCAAGACATCGATACAGAAGCAGCTATAACACCCTGGATCCTCACACACGAAACTACTAGTCGAACATCTTTCATCCCGAAGCCTTTCTGGTTGTCCAAATCCTCCGAAACACTGCTCAAGCTCCCTACTTTGTTTCCAACCTTCCTATCCTCACCCATCTTCAGATTTGTCCTCCAAACCGCAAGACGTCGATACAGACACAGCCATAACACCCTGGACCCTCACACACGAAACTACTATCGAACATCTTTCACCCCGAACCCTTTCTGGTAGTCCAAATCCTCCGAACCACTGCTCAAGCTCCCTACTTTGTTTCCAACCTTCCTATCCACACCAACCTTCAGATTTGTCCTCTAAACCGCAAGACGTCGATAGAAACACAGCCATAACACCCTGGACCCTCACACACGAAACTACTAGTCGAACATCTTTCATCCCGAAGCCTTTCTGGTAGTCCAAATCCTCCGAACCACTGCTCAAGCTCCCTACTTTGTTTCCAACCTTCCTATCCACACCCACCTTCAGATTTGTCCTCCAAACCGCAAGACGTCGATACAGATGCAGCCATAACACACTGGACCCTCATTCCAACATTTGCCGCCTCGAACCATCTTGACAGTACTCTAATACAATAAAGTGAATTGTGCTGTATTAAGATTATAGTTAATGATGTAGTTATTCCCTCTTATAATTTTATTATATAAAATTCATAAAGATTACAGAGTTGCTTATTGCGTAATAGTACTATTTAACAGAAGTAAAACATCAATGTTACCTGCAGGATGAACCTGTAATTTGGTCGTTGCTGATCATTTTGGTCAAGGTATACTACCTGTACTAACTGGTAGGTTTATCAGGCCCTCGGAAGGCCGGTACGAATATTAACAATCGGTACGTTACAGTGAAAAAATGCCAATAATGAAGATGGCGAAATGACGAAACGCGTCTGACAGACCAGGGATACGCATAGTGATCGGTAAAGACCAAACATCACGAAAATGTTGTTTAATACTTGAAATTAGTTGAAAAGTCAAAAGCAAACGGATGGTATAATTAAATTGGTATTTTATCAGGGCTGGAACGTATCAATGAAATCACACATATTTGTAAACAATAATGGATATGGATTCAGCAATACGCCCACGGTACGGATTTCTTTACAAAAACGAAATATTTACTGGCAAAACAAAGAAAAAAAATGTATTTGTACAAACAATTTAGATGATTGAATGGAATTTTTTTTATTGAATTGAAGCTTTATTGTGTCCTTTGTGTTGTAAATATCGATGTGAAAGTTTCTCTTTGCCGAGCAGAGATTGTTAAACTTCTAAAATTATCACCTTTTGAAGATCGTGTATAATCTAAAATTTAAATCTAATAATCTGAAATCCCGACGACATTACGAAAACCCGTTAACCTTAAGGCTGTCACCTCTGCCCAAGTCCAAAGGTCCAAAGATGTCGATAGAAATATTAAATTAATTAAAACATACCTCGCAGTACATTGTTTATTTTAAAGTTTTATGTTAATATTGGATATTAATTTCTTTTTTTTTTTTTTTAGGTAAGTCCTTCCATTATGGTTCAGTAGAAGGTAAGAGTTTACAACATTGACTATACGATTACCGTGCATAGAAATATCATAGTTACCTTCGAAGCAATTTTTATGTACACATAAAACTGGCGAGTTTAAAACAATTTTATTAATATTTTAAGCCCATATTCACAAATCCCCATCGCTCTGAGAAAACAATCTGGACCGGTGGTCAATTATGAATTCGTTTCGAATATTTTCGTGCGAGGGACTACAACTCCCTCCACAGAGACAGAATTTAAATGATTTACCTTTATGGATTTACAGTGAAACGGTTCATTATCAAATTTACTCGAAAGTGCTTAAATGAATTTCCGTTGCCAGTGTACGGGCGATCCCCTGTCGTCCAATCTCTCCCTATCTCTTTCCATACCAAATGGACCGTTTAATTTGTATATTTAGGTGTCAATTAATGAAACGTTCGTCTCACAAACGAGCGTCTCTTTACATTTATAAATCGTTTCAACAGCTAATTTCACTCTAATTACGACGGGGGAAAAATCGTATCGCCTCACACCGTCAACCCACTCGTAAATTAACTATTCTCTTTGAATTAATTACCAAGATAAAACCGTGTCAAATAGGAGTGGCCGTGTAAAAATGTGTAAAAATTACCCTCCACTAATTCCCATGGTAGGGACTTTGCAGAAATAAATAACCTCGCTCTGATTACTGATTTATATAAGCTCAAATCTGCGCATGTTTGAACATACATACACGCGTGGAGAGTTGAGTCTGTCATGTCTCGCTGTACACGAGCAATTCCAGATTTTGTAATTTATAATCAACTATCGGATAGGCTTCGAGAATCACCCACCCCGAGTGTTGGCAGTATGTGGACATACCTCGGTCTCATCCGTCCACCTAGGTTGGGCTCCAGGGGCTATCAACAGCTAGGTCATTTCAGCCACCAGAGCAATCAGTTCTTAAATCCCCTCGCACTTACGTTTAAATGCATTCTAATTTGTTTACATATCACATATGAGTAACCTAATCGAGGATAAATTGGGTACTCATTATTACATAGACCTTGTGGATGATGGCCATCGTAACATAGACTGCTATATAAATGGTTCTCTAATCAAAGGTAAAGGGAACGGTGCAGGAATCTATATACCTAAATTAGGTATCAGCACCTCCTCCCCTCTTGGCAATAACACCTCCGTTTTTCAGGCGGAAATCTGGGCCATTAATGTGTGTTCTAGAACACTTATGGAAAATAAAATCAAGGGAAAAGATATTAGAATTTTTCTGACAGTCAGGCTAGTCTTAGGTCATTACAAAAAGATTTGTCAACATCTAGACTGGTGGAGGAAACTGTCGATCTTATCAATAGAATCTCTTCCAGGTTTGAGAACAAGGTAACCCTTATTTGGATACCAGCACATAAAGGACACCATGGCAATGAAAAGGCAGATAGCCTGGCCAAAGAAGGCTCTAATACTGCGTTTGTCGGGCCACAATCGGTAATAGTTGTGGGTAAAATAATAATACTTATGAGTACAGCGAAAGAGAGTATTAAAAGCTGGGGTATGAAACAATTCCTTAAGGAGTTGTAATCTATCCCCCGGACACAGTCAATCGAAAGAGTTTGTTAAGGTGATTAAACCAGCAGAATCGAAATGGCTAATCTCTATCTCAAGGAAGGGGATTAGGGGGCTGATAGGAATCCTGACGGGCCACTGCCCATTGAGAAGACGCTCTCCGTAATGGGTATTTTACCAGATCCCTTTGGCCGTTTTTGTGAAATAAAAGAAGAAACGGCAAGGCACTCGCAGAGTGTGATAGGCTAGGTCTAGATTTGAAATCTTTGAAGGAGAGGACATCACTAAATCACTCCCCGAGATTAAATGGTCCAAAATCTTGGAGTTTGTGAACAAGTCCAAGAGATTTATGCAGGACACGTGAGCCGACCAAGTCCCGGACCTTTGAGGGATGGAGTACGAGTCTACCCAGGTATTTAACCCCTCGGGTCTCGGTCGCCCACCTTGCATAATATATATTCCGACGTAGATTCTCTCATAGTATACATTCACGCCTACAAATTCATTCAACACACACTAAGGGTCACGAAATATTTACAATAAAACAACCCTGTTTCTTGCAAGAATCGGCACAGGGGACCCAGATGACCCTACCGTGTACCACAAGGTATCCTACTCGCTCTCTGTATGGCGCCGAGGAATCGCACCCAACTAGATGGGACACGTCGGGCAACATTTCTCTACAGGTGCGACGTATATGGGCTTTAGCCTAAAAGTAAGTGTCAGTGTGTCAACCTCGCTTTGCTTATCTTAATCGGGATGACACATCTACGGACCAGATCCTCCGAGATGCACCTATAGACAGGGCTCATGATACGCGAGAGCTTCGTTGTCGATCCGGTTCATTGAAGCGGAGGTCAAGTCCGGAGGTTGGGACGTCCCAGCCTTAGCAGCTTCATCGGCCTTTCTAAGTTATAGATCCTATAAATGAATTTTTAAAACAGCATTGATTGAGTAATTGTGTAAAATGGGTAAACATGAACTTTTCTTAGTAGAATTGAACATTTTCCACATCAAATTTTAGGATTTGTAATTCCAATTCAACCCTTTTTTGATCAATTATTGCTTTTATCCCTAATCCCTTTTTCTACATGAAAGTTTGGTTCAATTTAATATTGAGAAGGGATAGAAAGATATTTTGTAATAAACCAAAACCTTTTCTGCATAGACTGAGATAGTTCCCATATGATTTTAGAAGTTTTTTCCCCTTTTCCGAGCTTTAAGCCAGGAACACACTTACCCGATGTTACGCCATGCGACGCTACCCGACGCGTTGCCACATTTTGGTGGGGTGTGCACATCTATCCGACGCAAGCACACGTCGCGTACAGNACACGTAGAGGGCCGGCGATGACCTCAGCTGTTTGTTGGCCCATAAACTTCCCACTTATATATAATCACAGTTAATTTGGTTTATATTAAAATAAGTGTGTTGTTTGAATAAAATATGAGTGTCCGGTTCTTTTGTCTTCGACTGTACTCGATGCGACCCGACGAAAATCTGGACAGTGGGGATCGCAGAGCGTCGGGGGTAGGTTAGCCTGGCATAGCATCGGGTAGATGTGCACGGGAGTAATGCAGCCTTATGGAATATCGGAGTTTGGATTTGCGTCGGGTAGCATCGCATGGCGTAGCATCGGGTAAGTGTGTTTCTGGCTTTAGAAGTGGTTCGTACAATGTTTTAAAAGTTCCGGATCAATTGCTATGGTGTAGCTTGGTGTAACTCGCCACCTCTTAGGCCGGGTTCACCCCTGAGTATTAACTGTTAAGATATTTACGGCAGAAACAATAGATACACGATTTTTATCCTAAGATAAGTGAGGTTCATACCGAAGCGATAAGACATGAGCCAGCCAGCCAATCACAAAGCCTATTTCCTCACACTACGAACTCGCCATCGTCAACTTTTGCAGCACTGAAGAAAGACACAAGCAAAGCCGTGACTCTTGATGCACGTATCTTACGACACATGTTGCAATCGTACAGGTGTATATTTTGTCTTTCCTCCACATTTTTTTTTCACGGTGAGCGTTGCGTATCTTACAAGACAATTATTGTATATCGCTTACGACCTAAATATGTGCTTAGGTTATCGCTCTGGAGTCCCTTCCTTAAGCCATTTAAAATTATTTTAATTTCCCTGTTACCTTGCCAACCGTGGATCAAGTACCTACCGCAAGAGGAATCGGCGAGAGGTGAGGTAAAATGGGCGGCAAAGTGAAGAAATTCGCGTACGATCAGGAAAAGCTGCATTTTTCTACCTTTCGATACATGTTTCTACATAAGTATATATTGTAACCATAATTATTCAGAAATCGTGAGATGCGGTCTGGTGTGACGTAGGTTTCAGAAAAACATTTTTTTTATCGTGCCAACGTTTGAGAGTTCTCTAAACACGACACGCAAGAATGGCACAATTGCACAGAAGACAAATACTTTGAGCCCTGAAGATGATCTCAATAAAGATCGAAACGTTGGCACGATAAAGAAAATGTTTTTCTCATACCTACATCACACCAGACCGCCTCTCACGATTTATGAATAATTATCGACTAACGGTCACTACTCACCACACATTGAACCCATAATTTTTCCATTTTGTAAATCAATAGCAATCAATCAATCGCTTCGAGCAATGTTGTTAAAAATACCTGGGGCCTTCTCTGCCGACCTGGACTACCGACGCTGCCACTTTCTTTTAAAAAAGACTGTAAAATTTAATTTTTCATTCCATCATGTATTCTATTATAGTAGATAATCCAGGATGCTCAATACAAAAACATGATTGTGCTGTTAATTGTACTAGTGAGTTCTTTTCCTCTCTGAGAATATTTCATAAAAGAAAAGCAATTTTATTGAAAGGCAGGAGACGATGGAGAGAAAAATGATTCCTCTCGCCTGGTACTTGAACGCTATCAGAGATGAAAAGTATTGAGTGGCTTAACTTTCGCGGGCAACCTTTAATAATTCTGTTTTAAGGCCGGAAGTTCCTCCCCTTTCAAACGGTATATTACGAAAGAAATTCGGCGGGTAATTGTACTGAAAATTAGTTTTAACATTCTGAAGAACCTGCTTAATTTGATAAACAAGTATGATGACATTTCTCAAAACAAACGGTGTAGTTAAAACTAAAGAAACATCCTCCCACAAAAAAACCAGAGGAAGTGTATAAATTGAAATAAACGCTTTTCGAGTCATTTGTAATAGACGATTGTTACATTATCCCGTTGTTGGCTTTTAAATTAATTAAAATGTTTTACAATTCTTCAGATTGGATAATCACATTTAAAAACCTCTTAATTATTTCAAGACAGCGCTTTATTATGAAAACTTGCTAGCGACGTTCCTTTGTTCAAATTTTACAAAATACAAATATAAATAATATATAAATTAATTTATATTTTTAATAATTTACAAATGAAGATATTATTTTTGGGTTTAATTAATTATATTATTTGTACCCTATTATTACATGTTAAAAATGTGATCACATAACATTTCTTCATGCGGTCACACCACTAACACTAAAGCCAGCGCACCCGGAAGACACATGCCATGAGAAAC